CTCGGGAGGAAAAATGGATAGGATTATTAAATCCAAGTTGAATAATTAAAGATGTAGACGCCAGGCATACTTTTCTGAAGATGCGTCCGTTGCTATTGACCATGCCCGCCTTCCTGAAGAGCTTAACGCGGGTGGGGCCGAGCCGGAACAGCATGACCAGCTTCTTCTCTACCGTGAGCATCTTTCTGACCTTAAGAACAGGAGAACATGTAGTTTACCCTTGAATAGGATCATATCCAGTCTGACTGTTCACAAATTTGCAACATGTGTGTTGAAGCGCAAATTACTCCCCGGCTTTGAACATCACGCGCCCGAGCCCCTGATATTTTCCATTATCCCACAAAACCTACTCCTCAGTCCCGAGATTTTACCCCACAAAGCCCAAAAACTCGGTTAAGGGTTATTTTATTTTACAAAAAGCGTCATGTAGAGGCCCATTTCGTTTCTTCACCCTTTTTATCTAATTTTCTCCCCCATCTACCACATTCTCAGATTATTAAATAACTTTTTCAGGTTGAAGAATTTGTCACTGTTCACCCGTCTATGCTTGCCATATAGCTGCTTTCCAATTTATCTCTATGACTGCACGTCAAGGTTACAGCTCAAGCTTGAGACACTGATTCCCTGATCTTCTTCAATTCTCCTATTTAACATGGTGGCGAAATGATGGTCTATTTTTTCGGTCGCAGTACCTCTGGTGCAGAGTTGATGGTGCTTTTAGCTGACGTGTAGACAAACATAAAGCCGACTCATCAATCGTAACTTCAAATAACAACAGATTTTTAGATGCTTATATTTTTTCTCATATCATTAAATTAAGTTACGACTCATCAAGTCATACTAAGCCTGGAAAAGTCTCAAGATATTTAGGAGAAGGGTTGCAAGATAAGTTAAGTTAGTATAGAGCCTCCAGAGAAAGCTAAGACTATGGGGTTAGTCAGTTGGTGCTATACATGCCTCAGAAAGACTTGAATCTATTCGCAGCTCGCAATTGGGTTAAAAAAGATCCATTGGCCTGTGCATCTGCCACAACCTTGCAGGTTATAGCTCCCTCCAAAAATAAGCCAATATATCTTCAGATGCATTTACTGTATATAGTATGCCTCGTCTCGAAGTGAGCCCTCTCAATTCGGCTACTAGCGAAAACCAGCGAAAACAGCAATTTTACTTGCCTATATATACGCGAAAGCTTCCTACTCTGTTTCTTTTCCATTGACTCAAGTCTTTGATCTAAAAGAATTGATTCTTTATCAGAAGAATCCATTACATGTAGCCGGTGTACCATCGGATCTATGGAGAATATGAAATTTCCTCACTCGACTCAATACGGCTCATAATTAAAGATTGTGTTAGAAATTAAATTCTCAGACCTCATAAAATTTATAGATGGTCAGTCGAACTGCAGAACTTTATTATTTCCAGGAATTTCTCTAGAAACATTAGAGTTTGCTCATCAAAACAAAGTGACAACAACCTAACTTGAAAATTAAAAAAAGTGTCCATTAAGAAATGGCTCAAGTTGAGAATCAAAGTGATAAAGCTGTTTTATTAATGAGGTTGCGGCAGAACTGGAGTGATCAGAGAGCCACTAAGACTACTACATCTGCCAAGTCTTTTCAGGTCTAGCCCAGAGGATAGCATTAAAAAGCGTGCAAAACAACTACATCAGGGTTTTGTCGAACTTAAGATAGGAATACTGAAGATTGAAGTTGTTTCAAGGCGCTATGGATTCCCCTTACCAAAACTCCCATAACTTATCACCTTCAATTCCATCCAGATCAAATTATCTCTCTTCAAAAAATTCTCAGTGGCAACTTGCCACTTCTGAAAATCAAAGATATAATGACGCGTATTAGCCCCAAATATGGTCGATTCTAATGAGCGAAAATACAGCGAACGATCCAAGGTCCCTAAAAAGGGCATAGCTAGTGAAAAACTTGGTCTTCATAAGATGTCTATTAGCAAACTCTAATTCACATCCTCGACTAACAATGGTCAATACAGATTGAGGCTTATTTGAAAGAGGTATCCAAGACCCAATTATTAACTCTTGAATGAGATGACTCTACATTGAATAGCAATTACGATCGCAAGTGGCCCAGAGAATGAAGACTGAATACTGTTGGAGATCTAGACTTAGTATGTATGAAGGTTTAGATTTCTAGGTATGATCATTAAGATCAATTAAATTGATTCTATTGAAGGAAGATATGATTAGAAAAATGTACTGCTGGTAAATGCCTAAAGCTTATTGCGTATATAATTGTACTAACTACTGAGTTCTACATTTACGATACATTCTATGGACCCTAGTTTAGCCCAGATTACAAATCAAGTCACATGTCTTCTAAGGCTCAGTGACTGATACTTCAACAGATTCGATTGAATATGATTAAGCTCAGCTAGGCGACATGAGGTTCAGTGGCATCTGGAATGCAGTGGCTAGGAAATGCTACCTTGCGATAATTGAGTGGCTGGTTGTTGCTAGATCACTGGGAGTTCGGGATCACTAAAGCCTCGGGAATCTGCATTTATGCATAGACTTATTTGAATATGTTAAACTAAGTTAACGGAATATTATATATTATTAATTCATATTGCGAAGAGAGTTCGATTTCCTATATAACTATCAGTAAATTCTTGTCCGAAATTTTACACTTGTTCTTCGAGATATTACCTCCTGGAAATCCTTGAAAATCTCTACCAAATACCTGTCATTGATCTTATGAGAATCTGTTGGTCATGTGAACCCCCCTGCTATATCCAAGAGTCCGTCATGAGGAATGGCATACCTGAAAGTTTTCGATGAGATAGCAATAGTGGTTGAGATAAGTTTTGTTGGCTCAGCTTTGGCGCAGTTTCTTTACTATACAGATAAAGCGACTGAGTAAACCAACACCGTTAATTTTTCCATCGAACTTCGAAGTAAAGGCGGGATTTCATCCATTTTTACTTCGTTATCAAGCAACTATTATTTTTTGCGCTCTTCATTTTACCTGGGGGATCTTGACCAGCTTGAATCATGTTGTGTCCCTCTTCAGAAGCATCTCACCGGTAGCTAATGCTTCCTAGAAGTCCAAAAATCAAAGCCATCTTTAAAAACATAAGACAGTGTCCAACTCTTCACAACTACAACGTAAAATAAAGGTATGTTTATGAGCTCCCATGAAGCTCATCTTCACCCCAGTCAAGGGTAGCAACAAATTTACCTCTGCCGAATCGCCAGCGACAAAATTGATAAAAATGTTATGGGTAAATTAGCTAAAGCTTTTGAGGAAGATCACTGCACTGATATAATGGATTTGGGCTTTTAGCCGTATATTGGTGTACACAGCTAGACATACGGCAGCAGCAGAAAGAAACTTGAGGCTGGAAAAATGTCAAAGGGAGACACCCTTGGCGATTGTTAAAAAATGCGCTGCAACTCCGGCAAAGCCCATAAATCGTGGCAGAAGGGGGCGCGTCATAATAGGCAAGTATCCAGAGGGCACGGTATGGACTTTTGGAGAGAGCGGCAGACCTAAGGATAGAGGATAACTTACCAGCCGCAACGACAGTAATAACAGCGGCAAAGCCAACGGACGACCTAGTGTTTGGAGGGCAAGACTGAACTCCTGTACGCAGTGTCCTCTACGAACCTAGGAGTGAAATATTCTCCCAGAGCCAAGTTCAGTCAAATTTCGCAATACCGAACAAGTTGGCCCACGAAGCAATGATTCAAATTACTCCACCACGTTAATCTTTCACTTCCAATGAGATCGAACCCTACCTAAGCCTCATTAAGTCTACAAGTACGACATGATACATCCTCATTCCAATGATCACACCTCTCGTCGACTTTCTCTGGCCTCAGCCGGTCACCAAATACACGCCCACGCCGATATTTATACCCGATGGAGGAGACAAAGCGTGGCACACAAATCTGGGAGATAGTTCTTTGGGATTGGCGTGAGAGGGATCAGGACAAGTTCACAAGATGATGCGAAGGATGGATACAGTCTCGACGGGCGTTGAATTTTGAATTTTGGCAAGGAGATTTTACAAATTGAGCTTTGTGTGCGCCAAGACTTCGTTTGCGAGAGTGCAGGCGACACTATAAAAACCGCCATGGTTGGATGGTGCGGTGGTGCATCGTCTTGGACGGTCCGCAAAGTAGAGTCTGGATAGCTTGGACACATATCCAACTTGAGACAGTAGATCGCTGGTTCAAATCCGGCAAAACACAACCACATTTCTCGCGGTGCTGGTATACATGGATAACGAAGGCATGCTTGGATAATCAGAGGTTTTGATATTCCCTTTGGTGGGCATTTACGGACGAGGGTCGACTGTTTGTCTAAGCAAGCATACCTCAAAGTGGTATTTGCGGATGAAATCCAGAGTATGAGTGTCTCTAACGTCAAAAGAGTCATGCAATATGTATGCAAAGCATCAGTCATTTGTCATACCTATGTAGTTGAATACAATAGGAATTAGAAAACCAGTTCACGTGTAAAGTACGAGGCGATCTCGAACAGGCGTTGTAGTTGTAAAGCGCTGTAGCCTCCCGCTTCTAATTTCTGCATATAATTATAAACGATAAATTATGGCATTGCTTTCGTGCATTGGCCGGAAATCCTAGCCCGTCACCTTGACATCATACCACAAAAGTACTTTCATCTATTGATTACATCTATTTACTAGATTGAAACTATTTATAAAAATTCGGATCCGCATTATTTTTTTTCACTTTATTATTAACAAGAATCGCGACAAGTACAAACTCAATTCGCCTAGTTCATTATCTGTTGTCCTGGTTCATTCATCAGCCCTTGCGTGCGATACAATCACTCCGGCTTACCAAAATGGGAAGGGATGAGTGAATACAAACATTTTCTTTATCTTTTGAGTGCAAGTCCGAGCTTTAAGCAACTATCATTGGTATCAGCATCCTACCCAAGACATCATCAATATCGTTATTTTCTCTGTTCTTACCGCATCGTCTCATTCATCAAGCTGCTTTAAAGACGAGTCAGTAAATGTTTACACTTTTGATGAAGAGTAGAGGGTATTACTGAAGGATGTAACACACGCTTCATCTTTACAATTTCCTCATCGAAAGCTTTCAGTATCGAGTTATAAAGATCTTCAGGAAACGGGTCGGTATCTAAACAAGGATCGATATTTCTTTGAAACAATTTGATACGCAATTTTGAAGCCAGCTCTTTCACGCAATTAAATTTTGGCGAGAATGCATCCAAAATAATAGCTTTGAAGTTTTCCGGACTAACGGCAGTATGTTTAGAGAAGTATATATCCACGACTTCTCCTTTGTACCATTTCCTTAGCGTACCAATGAAAGTGCATTTTTTCGAGGGCCATCCAAGACGTATACAGACTGAAACCAGTACATAGAAGAAAGATTCTAGATCGTGTCGATACGAGTGAATAACTCCATCCCCTTCTGGGAATGCATGAGCTTTCAAAATACCGAGTGCGATGAACTCCATAGTCCCCGTCAAGAGCTTGGCATCTGCTGAACAACTATCGTCACTCATCGAGATAGCCAGATCCAAGTCTATCAACACCCCATAATAGCCATCATTGAGCTTCGGGTCTGTCAATATAATATTATTTGTCGATATATCGGGGTGCAATATCTTCGAATCAATAAAAAGTGACTTGTGACCTTCAATTGCGTCGCGTAGCCCGCAGATCAGTTCAAGGGGTGTTGTATCTTCATCGATGGCACGTCCGAAAGGTTTCGATGCGATGACTGTCTTCCAACGATTCCTGTAAATCGTCAAAGAATCAGTGTTGGCTACATCTGGAACAGGTGCCAAAGTTTCCATCTCTACATCAACGAGCGCTTGTTCACCCGAAACTCCTTGGACGTCGTTTTCTTGCGTAGTCGCCGGCCTGACACTGGCTTCCAAACTTGATTCCCCAGTATTGCCTGATATGCAAAGCTTCTTCATATCTCGCTCAGGTAACATGTCCACATCGGTGTTGGCGTCGTTGTCGTCAGCATCTCTGTTCCTTTTTCCCAAAGATGAGTTTGATCCTGGACCAACATCAAGGCTGCTTTCTGTGGCCAGGTTATCCTGTGCAGTAGGCGTTTCAGGAGCTGCTACTTCAATCGCGGGGTTAGCATTAGCTTCCGACGTCTTCGACCCATTTTTCGCTCCAGTTTTGCTTCCTGAGGCGCCAGATTTGACGCTTTTGCGTATTCTAGCTGTCGCGGCGTTGAGTTGAGCTTGCCTTGAAATATTTACGACACACGCCCTCTTGCTCCTTCGAATATTTTGCTTAGAAGCACCGTCGATGAACTCGCTGCCACGCTTCACACCTCCGTTTAGCTCGACGCTTTCACCTGAGTTTAACGACCTAGATTGTGCTGAGTTACATGCTGTCGTCATCTTGGATTCAGGTGGATGTATATCTTTTTTCATTCCTTCCGTGAAAGTTAGCTCGCTGCGAAGTTCACTAATCTTGCAGGTATCAATCGATCCAATCAATGTCGCTAGCCCTCGCACGCTCCGTGCCTTCAAAAGAAGTTCAGCTTCCGACTTGCGTCCCACAGCTCTCCAAGAAATCTTTACCACAAAAGTCCCGTCCAGAGAAAGAAAAATCGTCGTGCCGCGCGTGACAATTGCGTTTTGCTTTATAAATGGCTGTGGCTGAAGGTACAACTTCTTCTCCTTCAACGTGTCGGCATCAATGACTGAGATGATGGTCTTCTTCTTATCTTGATAGATACTAGAGCCAATGCCAAGTTCATCGTTGCTCATCATCATGTAGGCAGCTATTACGTACAACAACTTTTCCGGATTTTCCCTGATTTCAATGAAGTCAGACGAATACGGTCCAGATCGATCGTAAACCCAGAGCTGCAGTTGTGTCCCGAACATTAGAAGCCCATGGACAAATCTTCGCAATGGCTGCGCCGCAAATACCTCCCGCATGTAAACCGAGAGCTGGAGAAACTTCTCGGTGCACTTCCCAACGGGTGAGGTCGTCAGTTCGCCTATAACAAGAACGTCTTGCCAGTCATGAGGAGTACGAGCTGGGAGATGGCGGCTCTTGAGGAAGATATCAATTTGTCGTGGAGCCAATCCACCATTTATCTACCTAGGCCCCGTAGTTTGGAACGTCTGAGCGCGGAGAGGGATAGTCTTCTGTTCCTTGGAGGTCTTGGATGGTTTGTGAGGCTCGATAAATTTCGTTTGAACCGCCTTGATCCATTCACAAACATTGGCTTCCGTTGGATTGGCGGGAAACTGGAAGCTTACTTTATCTCGCCTATTCACGTAGCGCTTTGCAATATCCTTACATTTGTTTGCCCAAGTTGTCCCCTCAAAGTACTTTTTGTAGAAGCCGTCAACATTCTCAAAAATTGTGCCTGCCAGTTCAGTCCGAAGCTCATCTTTCAATAATTCCATGAATTGGTCCTGACCTTCAAGCGGAGCCGTATACCGTATGTGTCGTGAATCAATGAATGGTGCTGATCTAACATCCATCACGGCCGGAGGGATTGGCTCCAGAGAATCCACCAGATCAGTCAGTTGCTTCCAAATCTCGATATCTGTCTCATCAGCGAGAATAGAATTGATAAGAGGTATGAAATGCTTTGAGCTTATACTTTCGGAAGCTAAACGCCTCTTCATTGAGTTGATACGTGCAGGCATGTTTGAATCAATAGCTGATGGTGGTAGCTGGTATGTGGCATAATCATTGAGGGACATCAGAAGATTTGCAAGTGCTGTACTTATAGGCTTGAGATCAGGGCCTTCGTCCAACTTTCGTTTCGAAATGTCAAGGTTAGAGTGGTCGCAAAGTATCACAAAGCTAGAAGTAATGCCTAGGAGCGGATTTGCTGCGAAATGCGCAGAATCTTCGACAGATTGAGACATCTTGTGAAATGATGCTAGATGAATGGGAATCGAGGAAGTCGAGGAAGACCGGTATGTGAGTTAGATGAATATGTGAGGAGTGTTAAGATTAGGGAGAGTGAGATGGATGTTTGAACAAAGAGAGCTTGATTTCACCGTCTTATACCATGAGATTTTGTTTTTACTACCTGTCACTATCCATTCCTACATAGTTCTTCGACTGCTAGTATAGACAGATCAAAAAAAGTCGTATCTGTGAAGTCGACAATGCAGATCATCAACGCTCCAGCTGTGGATCATTTCGCTAGACCAACACAGGGATCCAACCGATGTTGGGCGATCTCTTCCCGCGTTTTTACCTGTCGCATTTGCCGAAAAATGCAAGCGATCTCTTCCAATTGCACGTCCTGCGGAGTTCTTAACATTGACCCTCAATGAAATGATTGGATAATTGTCGTTGGTTTGTTATGCAAGCGGGGGAGCGTGTCAGTAGATCTATTTGATGCGAGGCCAATATGCGGCGGACAGGTATGAGAGTGTGGCAGGCGTAGTGAGCTATTTTGATTGGTATTCGATGCGCTGAAATCGGGCTATTTACCTCACATTACTAGTGGATTCATCGACGATGAGGCTTATCTATCCTGTCGACCTGACATTAATGTTTTCGATCGAAGAACATAGTTGAAAAGTGGTTGTCAGCGTCTGAATTTCTTGATAGACCTACATTGATGCGAGCAAGCTTCTTCTCACCGCTTGTTCATAGATAGGACTTCGAGAAGCTGCATGGCGATACGATGAGCAAGTTGCCACATCTCATACTTCCCGGTAAAAGTCTTGGTAGTGAAGTAAATGATTAGTTATGTGAACTTCGATCTGTTAAAAATATGGAGCACAGAGATATTTCAGGAGATGCTTACTGGAAGTAATTGATAAAGGCTTTTTTTATATTTTTTTTATATTAAAGTCCTAAGCTAAAGCTCTAGGTCCACTACAGGTACAAGACTGGTGGAGCCGGCGGGGATCACTGCTTACAGGCCCAACTCATTCCTACCGCTGGACTTGCTACAGAAATAGTAGGAAGTAAATTACGACGCGGACACCACCTACTCCAACTCCTAGATCAAAAATCAGTCCTTTTCCCTAAATCCAAATAGCTACAATCTTTCCTCAGAGAAACGACACTTCTCGCCTCGTTCCCTTTCTTGTCATGTGTTGTGGCAATGACTAGTTAATCTGATCCCCGCTGAGAGCAGTGGATGAGTGAGCAGGTCGTCTATCAAAACAGCCGGTTTCCTGCGCAAATATTTTGAGGCTTTCGTGGCACTTGGGCCCGAGAAGCTTTTTGAAAAAGTCAGCGTGGGACATTGACTTTCTGAGCCTACGCGTGTGTTGTGCGTGGCGGCTACAGTGGATGAAGTGGGTTGGAGTAGTTTCCTTCCCGCAAGAGCACTCCATAGGAGCGTGTAGGTTATTAAAACGGCGATTGTATGCCGCAAAATTGCCGTGACCCGTTCGGGCTGCAATTAATTCTCGGAGCAGGTACCTAGAGAGAGCTAGTTCGGGTGGTTTGCGTCGCCGAACCTGTAGGTTGAGTTGGCGGTATTTAGGCGGACAAGCCTCTATCCACCAGTCTTCCAGCAATTTTTGCCGCCGGTGATTCATGAGACCACGAAGATATGCCAGAGTACATGATCCTGGTGGTGTGTCCTGGCTAGGTAGCTCTCGAAGGGTGGCACGGGCAATGGTGTCTGCCTCTTCGTTCCCTTGTATCCCTGCGTGCCCTGGCACCCATCTCATTGATATTTTTGCCTTATTGAATGACGCATGGAATTTGCGTACATCTTCAAGGCTAGTTGAGGATGAGCCCGTCGTTAGTGCGCTTACAGCCTGCTGGCTGTCTAGAAACACGTGGATTTGCTGCGACCCTCCTACTTTCCTAGACTTTCCGTTATCCAAGAACTCCAGTGCGGCTTCTAGAGCCTTCCTTGCTCCTATTATCTCTGCATCCAGCACCTCTCCCCCGTGCTTGATGCCACTTCCTTTGTCTATGTCTTTCCCATCCTTTTTCAGAACGAAACCCCAGGCAGAGCGTCCGTGTCCTTCCGATGAACCATCTGAGTATGCGCAGATGTCCGTTCCTGTCACGTTATTGATCCATCCAACGCAGTCATTGCGTTCCGTCAGCCTTGAGCCTAACTTTTTAGGGTAGACTACCGGCGCCAGGGCCTCGGGGGCCTCTGCTTCCGGGAGCTCTCGATAAGCACGCTGTAACCGTGACATTTGGATCTCTGGTCTGGCAGAGAGTTTGGCAGTCTTTTTGTACTTTCGAGTGCCGACATTCGGGCACACGGAAGCGCGGATCCTCAACGGGTGTCTATCATCAAGGGTCTTAAGCCTTGCCGAAAGTTGGAGTCGGTTTCCCTCAAGTATGACCTTTGCCGGCGGGATTCCTCCTTCTATGTGAACGGCTACGTTTGGCGTTGTCCTCATCACTGGCAGTGCAGCTCGCAATCCCATCAGGTTAGCTTTGTCAATCATGCTGCAGAGGTTTGAGGTAGATGACGTGTCCATTCCTCGTGTGGTTGGGCGTTTGGACCCTGGCCACCAGACATCAGATCCAAAAGTTGCTAGAGAGACAATGCACATGTCTACTGCGCCGACTAACGGCCCGGGGGCTGCTCCCCGAGAGGTAGAGTTGAAGCGGCGCATATGCTGTGCAGCTTTCATCGCTTTGCCGCACCAGGTGGTTACGTGGTGTTTGAAATTGAGTCGAGGATCCAAATGTACGCCAAGCCAGCGAATGTGATCAGCGGGCTCGATGAGATTTCCATTTACGTGAATCCCAACTGCTTCTTCTCGGCGTCGTCCTGGGAATTGGATGACTTCAGACTTTTGCGTTTCGAAGGCAACAGCATTTTTCCCTGCCCACTCGAGAAGATGGTCTACCTCTCTTTGTGCAGCGCCGGCAGATTCAGCAACTGTGCGTCCAAACCCCAGAATTCCAATATCGTCGGCGTAGCTAAACCTCGATCCTGGGTTGCCTCTTTGCATCGGCTCCGCCATGTACAGAAGGAATAGTAATGGCGAAATTGGTGATCCCTGGGGGACTCCACAGACCAGCTCTTTCTGTGTGGTGACTCCACCGGAGAAACGCACTTGTACCTTCCGATGTGTGAGGAATGAAGTCGTCCATCGGAGGATCGAGTCTGGCCATCCCTGGGAGCGTGCTTCTTCCACGTCATGGACTACGCAGGAGACCAGGTCCGTTGCAGATCGCTTTGGGAGCGCGCCGAATTGTTGATGGCATACCACATCGTAAATGATTGCGAGGTTTGCCATTCGCTTGGCCAGGAGTCTTTCTAATCCTTTGCCTAGGCACGAGAGTAGAGCGATTGGTCTCCAACCTTTGATTGAAGTTGGGTCCCGATTTGGCTTTTCCAATAGTACCACTTCTGCAAGTTTGAAGCAAGATGGATGCGTGTCGAGCCGTATGCAAGCTTTAAAGAGCTGCGTAACATACGGTCCGATTGTCTTCCAGCAGGCCTCAAGAAGTTCAACTGTGACTCCATCTGCTCCTGGGGCTGCCTTAGTACAGCCAATGGTACAAGTTCGCACCTCGTTGTCCGATATGTCGTCTTCCCAGGGTATCCGGTTATTACTGGGAGCAGTGCACGTAGGAAGATCGTCCGATGCTTGGTGACGTGTAAGAAGAGTATCACGGAGAACTGTGGCTCGCTCATACGGGTCGGTGATAACGGAACCGTTATAGTTGAGCGGCGGAGGAGGTCTGACCTGTCTATGGTTGGCCGAGCGCATCAGCTTGAATATGTCTGCCGGAGATGTCATCTCTTCGACTTGGCGTGTCTGGTGCTCCTTCTTGGCGGCTGTGATAGTCTCACGTAACTTCTTTGCACAGATAGCCCGCTGTGAGAGTGATGTTGAGGCTCGGTATTCGGCGTGTGCGGATTTGCACCTAGGAGTCCACCATGGTGCAGATTTTCCGCTTTCCTTTCTGACCCGGGTTCCAGTTGCTTTAATGGCCTCCGTGAGATGGAAGCATATCTCCTGAGCGT